ATTGGGTCTTTGTGGGACATTGGATATGAAGCGTGGTTGCAACATGGTAGGGCGCGACTGTTGTTGTGCATTACCGTGTTGGTAGGTTTGTTGTGCATAACTGTATTGGTTCTGGGTCGGTCTTTGTGGGGTTTTTTTCTGTCATGGGTCCTGCCCTGAAGGTCGAGTGTTGTGACTTTTTAGTCGCCTGAGAGGCAATGTAACTCTGATTTTCGAGCTTCAAGCAAAGATGTAATGCTTGGGGAAGGTCAGTTGGTTCTTTAACTGCTAGTAATCTGGGGAGGTCACCTCGTAGGCCTCTTATAAATGTGTTAAGGCCTTTTTGCGGTGCATATTCGTCAGTAGTAGTAGTAGTAGTATTTCCTGACCTTTAAATAATCCCATGACCCCTATTTTGTTAAGTATGAGAGACAGATGATTGTAAATTGAGGAATGGAAATCTTCAACAGATTGTGATCCCTGAAAGGTTGACATCTGATACTCGAGTGTGTTTATATCCCTCTTGTCTGCGTAATGCAGAGTCAAGCATTTTGAAATATCATTCCATTCAAGTGGAGTGTTGTAGGACTCAAGTGCTGTATCGGCTATGCCGATTGATGGTAACGTCAGAGTAATTGAATGGATTATCAATAGATTAGTATTTGTGTTTTTTTTTTTGTATTTGTTAAAACTTCTTTATTTTCTTAACTAGCTTACATAAATAATGCGGTGATCATTCCTCCTGGAATCCTTGAGTGGGTCCGGTTTGGAGACTTCCTTTAATAGCCCCTACTAAGGCTTTCGGTATTCACTTCTGTGGAGGTAAAGCTGAGAGCGGATCTTACAACTTTTGATACACTGTCTTTTCCGCACTTAACAATGTTTTCGTTATCGTGCATAAAATTTTTTAGTGAATCGACCGTTTAAATTTATACGGGTGTCCCTCGATTTTCACTTTTACCAGCGATGAAAATTTTGACGTGATCGTAGATACCGTTTTGCACTATTGATCACTGTTAAATATTTCGAGTAACTGTAGATATCGTTTTGTTCTTTTCGTCACTCTCGAATATTTTCGCAACCGTAGAAGCTGTTTTGCTTTTTGGTCACTTGTTGATATTTTCTATAACTGTAGAAACTGTTTTGCTTTATTAGTCATGTTCGCTGGTCCCTGCTCAGGCGCCAGTTAATGTTATTATTATTTAAATTGAATTTTTTTACATAAAATTACGATTTGTTTGTTTGAACCGCTTTATTCAAGTTCTTGTTTGGGACTGCTCTTGACAAAACTTATTCTGCTAATTTATACTACGCGTTCGCTGCTCGAGTTGTTCAAACGGCTGGTGTTAATGCAGAAATGCAGAATAGGTTTTTCTACATTGCGCATGGCGGATGTTTGTGTTAGCATTTCTAGATTGTTGGTGGCGGATGTTTTCCAGACGACATAGTTGTAAAGTTGCAATTTGACTATTGTTAACTTGTATATTTTGTGAAATTTTTATTTTTGATGGATTTTGGTTACTGGGTCCAAATTTCCCCAAATTCTTAAAATTTAAGTTTAGTTGGACAAGGGCCATTACATGAAGGCGTTTGCATCTCTAAAAAGCCAATAGGCTATGTAGATCATATGCTGAAAATGTCATTAAAATCCATTAAGTAAATCAGAAGTTATTAAACAAAACGTTTGGCCAATTTACAAAAGCACATATCAGCAGCGCCACGCGCACGCATTTTTCCTATGCGTGCACACATACATTCAAATGCGTGTATTTTTTTATATTCCAAGAATCGAAATTGCGATTGAATACTGCTTAAATTATCAGCTGCCACTCAACTTCAAATTGTGGCAATTAAAAAACTCAAAGAGGACTGGGATCAGGCTATCTCCTAGTCGGGCACCCCGACTAGAGCTTTCACACTTGTTTTTTATTGCGACTGTGACGACAAAATGTTGACTGCGACAAATTAATTGTGAAGTGGCGGTGTTGGTAGAGTCGGTGCAGGTTGCGCAAAATATCCGGGGTCGAAACCTGGTCTCGCAATGTCGCTTTTTATTTGTTTTCTTATTTTTTTGAATACACGATACAAACTACGGAATATATTAAAAAACTCAAAAAGGACTGGGATCAGGCTATCTCCTAGTCGGGCACCCCGACTAGAGCTTTCATACTTATTTTTTATTGCGACTGTGACGACAAAATCTTGACTGCGGCAAATTGCTCCCAATAATAAATTTTAAATTCTTGCTCCTATATACACTGACGAGTAAAACTGTAACACATGTTCAATGTTCTTACTTCAACGGTCTGTATTATCTTTTCTACTTTATGCATGATTATGATCATAAACTTGTTTTGTTAGTGAAATATTTGGCTCTTTTATTTATAAATTTGAAGACATTTGATTAGCGATAAAAGAAATACAATGGCAAAGAGTAAAAAAAGTCAAATGTTACAGTTTTGCACTCGCAGAGCAAAACCTATTTACTTTTGTTTCAAAGCTATTTTTACCATTAAAGCTTATTTGTTTTCGCTCAAAATCGATAAGCCTTGATCATTTTAAGTCAATTTGCAAAATAATTATGATGGCTGATGAAAAGAAAAAGGAAATAAACGAATTATTGATAGGGAGCGAATCCGTTAGGAAAGGGGCTAATAAATTTGGTGTTAGCCATATAACTGTGCAGCGTTTAAATAAAAAAACAGTTCAGAAAACATTAAAATCAATAAAGGACGCCGACCGCGACTTTTAAGCCGACGTGACACGCGACACTTGGCTAACTTAGTTACAAGCATTCGCGACTCTACGCCAATAAAAGTGGCCAATGTGTTAAATTTAAATGCCAGTGAGTGGACAGTCCGTCGCAGTCTCGGCAGATTGGGCCTTAAGACCAATGGAAGAAAAAAAAACCATTTCTAACCAAATGGCACATTAGTTTGCGTACAAACTTTGCTACAATGCATGAAAAGTGGGCTCTAGCTGATTGGGATGCCGTAATTTACAAATAAATTGCTTAAATGCTCAAAAAATTTTTCGAGGTTATTTGGTCAGACGAAACTAAAATTAATCGTTTTGAGTCAGACGGACGATCGTGGTATTGGACTAGGAATCCCACAGTCCAATCGGCAAATACAGTGCGGTGCACGGTGTCGGGTCCATAATGGTTTGGGGCTGTATTTGTACAAATGGAGTTTGGGCCCTTAGTGTTAATCGATGGGATCATGCGTAAGGAGCAATACCTAAAAATTTTTCGAGAAAATTAGGGAGGAGTCATTGGCAACATGGGTCTGGCTGTTGAAAATTGCATTTTTCTGCAAGACAATGACCCAAAGCACAAATCCCATTTAGTGAAAAATTGGTTATTGAACCAAAAGTTTCAAACTATGAAGTGGCCACCGCAATCTCCAGACATGAAAAAAAATTTAATAAAAATAAAACTGTAACATTTGACTTTTTTAACTATTTGCCATTGTATTTCTCTTATCGCTAATCAAATGTCTTCAAATTTATAAATAAAAGAGCCAAGTATTTCACTAACAAAACAAGACTATGATCATAATCATGCATAAAGTAGAAAAGATAATACAGACCGTTGAAGTAAGAACATTGAACATGTGTTACAGTTTTGCTCGTCAGTGTATTTGTGGCAAGGTATTCGAGACACCACCCCTGAGTCCCGATCTGAGCTCTATTCAGCATTTGTGGACCTTAAAAATACATGCTACAGCAAATGTTAATCTTAATTAGACATTTTTAGTAAGTGACGTAATTTATTTGTTTTTTTTTTATCGGCGAAAATTTAGCTTTTCTTATGTGGTTCTGGACTAGATGCCACTTTACAATGCATCGAGCCTTTATCTATCTCTTCACTTCATTTAAATTGGCAACTTAATGACCACAGTTGTACAGCTAGAACGCTGAAAATGTGGTAATTAAGGTGAAATAGTTATTTCTTAAGACAAATTAAAAAGGCTACATTTGTTAATCAAAGGTCAGCAGTGTCACGCCTTTGGTACTATTTAATAAAAACAAATATTTTTATTCCTTGATCCCAATAAAAATGAGAAATCAGCGTATAATGGTTTGGTGTAAATGTATGTAAAAGGCAGAAGGAGGCGTGGCAAACCGCATAAGGTATTATATTCTTAATCAGGACGACAAGCCGGGTCGATTAATCCCTGTCCGTACGTCTGTAAGTCTGTCCGTCCGTCTTTCTGACCTTATGTGTGAACGCGTCGATCTCAGCATCTACAAGAGCTAGAGACTTAAAATTTTTTGTAGGTCCGTGTATAGTACGCTCATACCAAGTCTGTTTCAAATATTCGATAACTATTCCCATTTATTTGTTATCGAATAAAAACATGAACGGAATGCAGTTAATAAATTATATCTCGTACGTCTTAAGAGCTAGAGTTTTTAACATTTTGTAACATTTTTATTTTTGTTGGGTTTTGGATACTTAGCTCCAAATTTCACCAAATTCTTAAAATTAAAGTTTAATTGAAAATACGGCCATTATGTGAAGGCGTTTGCATCTCTACCAAGCCAATAGAATATGGAGATAATATGCTGAAAATTTCATTAAAATTCATTAAGTAAAACAGAATTTATTAAACTAAACGTTTGGACAATTTGCAAAAGAACAACAGCGCCAAGCACACGCATCTTTCCTATGTGTGCACACACATACATTCAAATGCGTGCATTCTTTTCTATTTGAAGAATCGAAATTGGGATTGAATTTTGCAGATTAGCTGCTACTTAACTTTAAATTTGCAATTCTTTTCGCAAGCAGTGCGGTGGCTGCGTTGGTAGATGATGTCATGGTGTTGGTAGAGTTAGTGCGCGTTGCGTAAAAATTATAGGTTGGAATCTTGGTGTCGTAATGTCGATTTTTATTTGTTTTTTTTTTTTTTTCGATACAAACTACGGAAAACATTAAATTACGCAGATAGGACTGGGATGAGGGTATCTCCTAGGCGGACACCCCGACAAGAGCTTTCTAACTTGTTTACTTTTCATCTTGTTTTGCCATCGCGAGGATACAATAGAATAGAGTTAAAAATATAACAGAATTTTTGCAAAATACAATAAAGTTAGATTTAAATTCCCACTCCCCTAGAGGGTGTGCACATCGTATTTTGTCAATCTGTATATCAAATATTCTTCATAAGCATTTTCACCCAAATTTTTCTTATATTACACACGTTTCAGTGCATAAATTATTTTGTTGTTTTAATATTTGTTATATTATCACATACTGATTCAGCTAGACTACACTTATATTGAAGTTCGGGCATCATAACACCATCCATATCTAAAAAGCGGGTGTGCATTCCAGCAGCAATAAAGCGCTTAGTTGCCGCTAAATCCAAACGATGTGCAGATAAGTAATAGGTAATTTGCTGTTCACGGGCTAGCAATTCCTTTGCTCTATCCAAATCGTGTAAAATATAATGCTACGGATAAATTAATAAAGTGTTAGTTTATGTATATTAAAATATTTTTTTATTTTAATTTTGTATCACTGAGCTATATTGAAATTTATTTAATTAATTATTTAAGGCTTATAATAATTTACGTGTTACATAAATATACTAGACGAAGACGAGTTGTTGCATATATTTTTCACACGAACATCGATGTTTTTGCAATCTAAAGTTACTGGACATTGAAAATCAGAATAATATATTGTGTGACTAGTAAATTAGATTTTTTTTAATTAACACCAATGGTGCAATGGTACCTGAAGATATAAAATAAAAATTGCATATTCCTGTTCAAACTGTTTGAGTGTTTACATATACATATATATGTACATATAAACGTATAAAAATTAGACGTGTGAGTTAACCACAGACCACAACCAGTCATAGTTGCGGCGGTTGTTAGCAACAGTGACGGTAGGACCGGAACGTTGAAGGTCTTGAAACAGCGGCTTTACAACAGCACTGGCTGCGCAGTTGGCTGTAGCTGTAACTCTTAAGTCTTGTAATATATAGTCTTAGTTTGGTTTGTAAAAATAAAAAAAATCAGAACTACTAATAGTGCGACATCAATAAATTAACATGGCTGCGCAAAAGACACTGATATTATTCACCATTAACACGTAAAGCGACAGCGTTGATAACTTAGATATTGTCGTTTACGATGAAATATGTAAACAATTTGCAAAGTGAGATTTCAGAAAATAAATATTTAAAATAAAGAGAAACGAAAAACTAGTCAGATCGTTCTTATTTCAGTGACCTGTCATAAGTTTACAGTGCATTCATAATCGAATTAATGATAGATTCCAAAAACAAAGCAGCGGTAGTAGTGCTTTTGAAAGTCTATAGACGGATTCAGGAGGCTACAATATTGATGCGTACCTTAACTGAAGTCTTTTTTTCAAACGTGTCAGAAAATACACGGTACAAACTAAAAAGTAAACTTATCTGTGGTTAACAAGGGTGTTGTGAATGCAATTCATTGCAGCTTGCCGACTGTAGCTAAAGTTGAACACGAGTTGATAAATACCGTAAAATTCCCGAATTGTACAAATTTTATAGCTGTAAATTTTAACTATATGGACGTGAATGAAATATTTACCAAAGAGTATAACCGAGGTTACAGGGCAACTTAATAAAACATCAAACGAATCATGAAGGAGTGTGACTCCCGGCAGGGCAAAGAACTCGGTCAGGAAATAAGCTTTCGTCCTTTTAGGAAGAGAAAAAGGTGTAGCGTACACAAGAACAACCTTCGTTGAGCGCGTTTCTTTTGAGCGTCAGTAGATTTAATCTTATTTTACAACATCTTAAGTTTATTTTATTTACACTTTCAATTTTGACCAAGACGGGCACGTATTCAAACTATACAGAAAAAACTATGCATCTGTTCGAATCCTTCATTACGCGCAATAGAAATTTTAATAAGTGAACTAGGGACCCTCATGCTCACTTTAACTCTCGAGAAAATTAAATAAATTAAAATCGCAGGGACTTCAATTAATGACTTAATGAAGGTATCTAGTATTAAGGTTGGTGGTAGTTAACTTTAATATGCAGGAAAATTATCATCTTCCCAGTCGCACACAACGGAGCAACCCTTCAGCTACAAGAAAACGTGGTAGATGATTGTGACGATAAAATCTTGGTTGTAAAAATCAGAAGGCTTCAGTTGCATACAGGGGTATTTGGCTTTTCCATATGTAATTAATAAATTGTTGTCCACTCCCATTTAAAAAATCTATAAATTTAGATTATATTATATTATTACATGTCATCAATGTTCAACTCAATTTAGATCAGCATCGGAGCATCTGGAAAACTTTTTAGAGCCAAAAATACGGCTTTCCATGGACTCGCGATGCTCATGCTAAATATTAATATTTCCATTATTCGAGAAAAGGGTTTGAGATCGCTAAAAATAGTTTTTGCCATGTATACACTTACAGTTCACTGTTTACATGGAAGCATTTCTTCTAGGAGAGCAACTCTAGCTACTAGTTTAAATTGTACAAACCTCCCATTACCAGTCTTTTTTGCCTATACTGATGAAGTACTTGCGCCTTCCCTTTCTAATTGTCTTAACATGTCTTTTTATAGCTGGGTGGAGGTACTATACTGTGTAATATGTCGATGGATTTTAGTTAGAAACCAAATGTTCTCTATTTTAAAGTGTTTAAGGTATGAAAAAATAGTTCCGCCGTGTCGCCGCTCCCGGTTTTCAACTACTTCTTCTATTATTTCTCCTATTGTGCTATGGAATCGTTCCACTTAGTTGTTGCTTAGCGAAATCTCAATGAAGTTGGGAATTAAGTTCGAATTTGGAAATGTCTATTCAAGTGAAAAAGTAGTAAAAGTGTCTATAAATTGAGGTTTCCCCTAACTCTGATTATTTGTAGGGTATTTGTCGTATTTTGCCTTTCCACAGACTCTGCAATGCACGCCTGTCACTCCCGCAATCTTTTGAGATATATAAATCTTTAACTTGTTTATTTCTAATAAACGTTTTTACTAAAAAAAATCTACCACGACAGATTTAGAAATTTTGTCGATCTGTCGTGAGGTCGCGCCAGCTGTATAATTCTTTTACCCAGCTCTTAGAATAGGGATACGACGTGTTAATTAACGAACGCTTTCCAATGCATCATTTTTGGATTTGGTTCACTCAGAAAGTGGGAAATAAGGTTATAATGGTTTTGAAGGAGGCAGACCCCATAAAGTATATATATTCTTGATCAGGAGCCGAGTCGATTGAGCCACGTTCGTATATATGAATGCGATCTCAGCATCTATAAGAGCTAGAGAAATTTTTGTAGGTCCGTGCAAATGATATAATTCTACAATTAACAATATTTTGATACTCATATAAACTAATTCAAAGATAAAGCCAGAAGTGTTCTTGGGTTTATTATACGTTGGTGAAATGATTTAATATTCATTTTATTACCAAAATGTTATACATTTCATCTTAGAATATTAATTTAAATTATCTCCATAATATAAAGTGCACCACGAAAGTATTAAGTCTGTCCAGAAGCAATTTTTTCTTTTTGTTTACGAGTCATGTAACACAATATTTGCTTCCCTACTTAAGTAATCGTCGAACAATTCTAGGAATTGTCTTCCTATTTAATAAAATTATTTCTTTCAAATTTCTGATAGTGCCTAGTGTATAGCAGTAAGCAATTCATAGTTTGATGGACTGGTATAAATATTTCCCCTAGTTTTAGCGGTTTCCCAATCGAATCTTTTCTGTTATTTTCTTTTCTATAACCTGAAACCATTGAAAATAGGAAATCAAGGTAAAATGGTGTTCGTAAAATGTAGGTAACGGACAGAAGGAAGCGTGGCAGGCCTCATAATGTATATATATTTCATAATCAGGATGACAGAATCTATGAATGCGTTGTTTTAGAACCTATAAAAACTAACGACTTGAAATATATTTTGTAGATTATTATGTGCTATAGTTTCTTTGATGTATATTCCCCGTTTAGTTCAGCTATTAAATTATACGTTCGAGGATTATACGTTCGTCATTGGAGCTAAAGAGGTTTAAATTAAATTTTATACCATTTAGAATTTTGATTTTTGTTTATTTTAGCTGGTATACTCTAAGTTTTGAATTTTTTATTGTAATTATAGTCAATATCTGAACGAATTATCATTTTTACTAAATTAGGAAATATTCAATAGAATATGGAAGAAATCACAGTGGGAAATAACTATAAATCAACGAACACTCAATCGCTTATTGCCAATCTAAACTAAAGTGGGAGGTCTTTAAGTGAAACTTGATATGTGCGTACTATGTAGAGACCAACAAATTCCTTGACTCTTATAGGTTCTTCGATCGATATGTACACATAAGGGTGGACATACAGACGGACAAGCTAAATCGATTCAGCTCATAGTCTTCATCAAGAATATATAAGCTTTATGGGGTTTGTCACGCCTCCTTTTATCGGTTACATATATTTTAACAAAACCATTGTACCCCGAGTTCTCATTTTCAATGGGTTCAAGGTCATGCTCTGGGGATATGTTGCTTACAATGGCTTGGGATATTATAGAAAACGGTTTTGGAATCGGTTTGGAAATACAAATGAATAGGCTGTACACATGTTTGCAAATCCTACCGGTAGTTTGATTGTCAGCAAATTTCGGAGCTACAATGTATAAAATTTTCGAAATTGCTTTTATTTGGAAATTGTAACTCCATTTTCGGTACTCAATACTATATTTTCTTTCGTTTTTTTTTTTATTTTTTTTATATCATGATTCATTTACTCGTTTAACGATTACACTGTCTGAAAATATTCGCATTCGATTCAATAGTATATGTTAGTGAATAGTTTAGAACTCAAAATAATTATTGAAAATACCTTTCTTATATCTGTTCCTTGTAGCTTAAGGTACATCCAAAACAACGTGCTGTTTATATAGGTTAAAAATGTGTCAAGTTTGATGCGCTCCTCGGTAGTTAACGTTTGGATATCATGCAATTTTATAGCATCGGTTAAGTCATTTTCCAATTCATCTAGGCTTGTCGAAAAGTGTTTTATAATTGCAAGTAACTGATCGTTGTTTAGCTGTCCAAAATAAACATCACGTTTGTTTGCACAGTTAGAATTATTTACCATATCCATAATCAAACCCAGAGGCTGAAATTTTATAATGTTATAACGTTATATTAAATAGTTTCAATGATTAATTTACATTTGAAGCTGCTTGTTAATTTTACAAATCAGAGCTTATGTCAGGGTATCGTCAGTTGGAGTACATTTGTAAAAAATTTTAAACTTAAATGATACGTGTTATAAATATACAATTTGACACGAAAGTGTTTTCACATGGGAAAAAAATTATATTTTTGTTCTTTAACATAAAAGAAATATACTAAGAATGCTATTTCAATATTTTTTTAAATTATATTATGCTATTTCAATATTTTTTTAAATTATATTATGTTTTTTCAAATTATTGTCTTACAAAAATATATAATAAAAATTAAAAAACTATTAACATAGGCATAAAAAAACAATAACAACATGTTTGCACACATGCTATTCTTTATTTCTTTGTATTGCTAAATTCGCATTTACCGTTTTTTTCGGCGTTGTCAATATGCACAGCTGTGGCTGATGCTATGTTCTGAAGAATTTCGTCATATCTTGTAAGAATCGATACACATGCATTACAATCTTGTACAGATTTGAACAAATTAAAAATGCCAGGGAAGCGATTCTCATTTCACGTGATTCAATTGGTTTATTATAACCACTCCATTGGAAAATCGGTCTCGGAGATAGCAGAAATGTTTATAATATCAAAGAGGACCGTTTACAATATTTTAAGCCGGGCAGAGAACGATGAAACACTGGAGCCAAAGCGTTCTACTGGACGACCTCGGGCGTTAACAGATAGGGCAGAGCGCATTTTGGCCAGGAAAGTTAATGATAACCCAACAATTTCGACCAGAACGCTTGCCAGGGAGCTGCAGGAAGAGTGACGTATTGACATATCCCGCGAAAGTGTCCGCCGAGCCCTAAAAAGGAACGAGTTTGCATCCCGAGTTGCGCGGGAAAAACCATTATTGTCGTCTAATCATGAAAAAAGACGTCTAACATTCGCCAGGATGCATGTGGGACATGTGGAATCATATTGGGATGAAACCATATTTTGCGACGAGACTAAGATGATGTTGTACTACAACGATGGACCCAGCCGTGTGTAGCGAAAGCCGTTGAAAGCCCTTGAACGGAAAAATATAATTCCTACTGTAAAGTTCGGAAAACTTTCAGTGATGGTCTGGGGGTGTATTTCTAGTAAAGGAGTTGGAGAATTATGTTTTATAGAAAATACAATGGATGCCAAACAGTATTTGGAGATTTTGCACACGCATCTAGTTTCTAGTGCCCAAAAGTTGGCATTTTTTAGGGATGGTAAATCAACATTTAGATTTTACCAAGACAATGATCCCAAACATAAATCCAACACAGTCAGGTATTGGCTTCTTTACAATTGTGCAAAGGTGTTGGATACTCCTGCACAAAGCTTCGACCTTAATCCCATAGAGAATCTGTGGGCTGATCTTAAGAAAAGGACAGCCAAGTGAGGTCCAACAAATAAAAGGGATTTTGAGTCTTATATATTAGAGGAATGGAAGAGGACACCGGTGAAATATGTCCAAAACGTAATATATTCCATGAATAGACGGTTGGAAGCGGTCATTGAAGCCAACGAGGGTCATACCAAATACTAATTTTAATAGTTAATTAAGTTAATATTGCCTTATTTTTGAAAAGTATTTCTGTGCAAACACTTTCGTTTCACTTGAATTTGAATATGTTTTTAGTTGTTATTGTTTTTTTTATGCCTTTGTTAATAGTTTTTCAATTTTTATTAATTATTTTTGTAAGACAATAATTTGAAAAACATAATATAATTTAAAAAAATATTGAAATCTCATACTTAGTATATTTTTTTATGTTAAAGAACAAACATATAATTTTTGTCCCATGTGAAAACACTTTCGTGTCACCCTGTATATATATAACAGCAATGGTATATATATTGCATATAATATAATATAAATAAAATGTCCATTAAATGCCTATAACGTCTATTTAAATGCCATGCACGAAGAGTTAAGCACTGTAAATTGTAAATGGAAATTGAAGTTATAATAGTTCTGTGAAAATGTAAGTAGAATTAATATTTATAATAATAATTATGAGGAATAGACGAACCGATCTAGTCTGTGCCTAGTAGAATGAAAGAATTGAAATGTTTCACGAATTTTTTTTTTTGTATTTTAGCAGCGTGTTCTCAATATTCGATAACATTTTACATTTGATCAAATCAATCGAAAATAAAATAGAAGTACAATTATTCTGGACTATAAAATTGTATATATACAAGTTAACAACAAAGTTTTTACAAAATTCCGCAGTCTGGAATTCCTAACAACAAAGTTGGTGCGCATTTCTCTCTGTGGTCAAGAATCGCTGCAAGTACCGAAGTTCAGCAGTTTGCAATTCCTAACAACAAATCTGGCACTCAACTCTCTCTTCGATCAAGAACCGCTGCAGTAACGCGAAACTACTGTAGTTCAACAACCAGTCGCTGAATGCAGACAATGTCGCGAGAGTCATCAGCAGCGCTGCCGCCATCAACTCGGACATTAGCTAGCTAGGGTACAATCATCTTAAGAATAAATTAGTCTAAAATCTGGGATCAACCTGATCACAAGTAAAAATAAAATTCAGGATTTTTTTAACTGGCGCCCGAGCAGGGACAGATCGCGAATACAACAGTGCAAAAAGTCATCTAAGTACGCGAATCGACCTCGAATAAACCACGACAGAACAAAACGTTTCTAAGTGCGTTTAATCATTAATTGACACGAAAAGGTAAAAAACAAGTGTGAATACAAATAACTGTGGTGGTGTTCAGTTGTGTAATAATCTTTATTCGTCTAAGCATGAGTTCTTATACCCTGGCTCATGCGTATTTCATATCTTAACCTAAGTACATTATGTAATGAGTGGAGCTCCAAGCGGGAGACATACTATGCTCTCCGCTATGTAGCTTCATATATATAGCTTGTATATACTTATATGCATATGGCATAAACATTAGGCAAGTGGCATAGACCTTAGGCAAAGTGCGTACGCGGCATCTCCCGCGCTGCTGTGGTCTGACCATAAGTGGCTGATCATATTACATTTGTTTATCTTTGCGCTCGCCCTATGGTTATGAGTAGGGACAAATGTCAATATATGCGTATTTAGTATACACTATCAAATGTTAGGCATATGACGCATTTATATGTAGAATACTCTATATTGCTTCAGGTATTATTAATATGTTATTAAATATACTACAGTATGTTCATGCCTGAACATTCTGCGGGGGGCCAGAAAATGCGATAGCTGGCAATTGCTGCCTCTGGTTTCTCTTCTTAATCCGTGGCCTGCGTCTCCGTCTGTATATTTTTCGATGCTTCCCAGAGTTCTCTGGGACGTCCAAGCACATCGTTGTTGATGCGCTTGATTGATAATCCAGATATATTGCCAGAAACAATCCATCCAAGTTCGGTCTTTTGTCCCAGGGTTTTGTTGATTTTCTTTACTTTTCCCAACATTATTAAGGGAAGTAAATCAACGCCAATGACAACGTCAATTCGACTGGGCTCGTTAAAATGTGGGTGTGCTAGCGCGCAGCCATTCCAATACTTATTGACATCCATGTCAATTTTCTTGGTCGGAAGAGCTCTCTGAAGTTTTGGCATAACAAGTGCCTGCGTAGTGGTGATGAATTTGCTTTTAAACCGGGATTTGATTGTTAAGCAAGCACTATTTTTAAGGATTTCTATATATTGCGAAATTCCTTGAACTTCCACGTTTCGTTTAGTTCGGCGCAGTTTTAACTGTTGTGCAGCTTCTTCAGATATTAGGGTTTTTTGCGGGCCTCCATCTATAAGGGCTCTTAGCTGCTCGTATTTTCCAGACTTATTTTTAATCTGGATGAGCGCTGTCGCCAGCAACGTATCTTGTCCTTCATTTTCATTTAGACAGTTGCTGCTGACGGTCTCTTTATTATTTGCATCTTCGTGAAGCAAATTGTTGTGTGCTTTTGTGCATTGATTGCAAGTCCAATTCTTTTTGCAATCTTTAACGCTGTGGCTGCCTAGATATTTGTAGCAAAGCGAGTTTTTGAATACAAACTCCTTGCGTTTTTTAACCGGCTCAGCTCTAAATTCCTGACACCTGGTTATTTCATGTCCCGTCAATTGGCAAAAACGGCATCTCTCGTGGCTCGTTGTCTGTGCTTCCCTTGACGTATGGGCGGCGCTTTCTTGCACTGAGTCTATTGAGTTATACAGTTGCTCAATAAACTCTATTACATCGTCCAAGGACTGAATTTCTCTGGCCTTTTTTACGTGTTGCTCGTAAAGTTGTAGGACTTCTGTAGAGAATCGTCGCAACAGAATTTGAGCGATTAGAGCGTCAGCTTCATTAAAAAATTGACCCCTTTCTTTGTTAATGGAAATGCATTCTGTTGCTGTGTCCAAGAACTTGCGGATACTGCCTTCATCATTGTTCTTCAGCAGTTCCATGTCCACTAGCTGCTTGACGGCGTTAGCAAATATTTTGCGCGTATTTTCGTAGCGCTTGCATATTAGCCAATTAATAAATGGCCTACCACCATTTTGGCTTCACCCTTAAGGCATGACTTCAGGTAATTCAGCTTCCTTGTGTCGCTGATATCTCTCCTGTTGTGAATCACCTCAGAGAATAACTCGAAGAACGTCGGCCACTCTTTGGGACTTCCATTGAAGTGAGGAAGATCCACTTTCGGTAGCTCTGGAACGTCTTCTTGTGTATTTTGCAAGCCAGCTACTCTTCTGTTTATTTTTTTGTGAGTATGCTGACATTGCATTCCAGCTCATCTATCTCATCGATGTCGAAGGCAAATTTTTCGTATTTTGCCTCTAAATCCGTGAGCGTTGACTGGACTTTGTTCCACAGGAAAATCAACTTGTCTTTATAGTCAAGGATTTCTTCCTGGCTGCTGAGCTTTAGATTGGCATACACTTCCTGCATGTGTTGCCTTACTTTTAGAGCTCGCTTGTCCACAAGGTCAACCAGCACATCCATTGGGCTCGAGCTTCTTTGGGAAAATATTATTTCCTGCTGCCTGTGTTGTGCCTTGAATGTCTTTGGTTGTATGGATGCTGTTTCGTCGGTGTCTATGGCGTGGTCGGCAACTTCGACTTTCATCAGAGACTC